TCCATCGACAGTTCGCCAATGGCATAATTTTCTTTGATGCACGGAAGAAACAGTATGGTTGGTTTACGTATAAGTCTAATTATGCCAGACCAGATTTCATAGTAAAATATGGAACAATTGATTGTCTGCTTGCTGCACGGTAAAAAAAGATTTGGTTGAATTAACCAAATATCTGGTCTAACCAGATATTTGGTTAATTCAACCAAATCTTTTTTTTCCGTGTCGAATCACAGAACAATTGCTGAGTTACTGCGTTGCAGCAGTGACGACATATGGTTGCTTCAACTAGAATATATCTAATAATCGGGTGGACTAAATGTCACCCCGGCTCATTTCTGATTGCTACAACTGGATCAACTACATTGATAAGGTCGACCAAAGTAAGTGAATCATATCAACCATTGACATTATCATCACGCAAAAAGTAATGCAGTTATGTTGCTCACAACTAAATATTTCTGATTATGTGCACTGTATCTGTCTTGTCTCGTGCAATGTATAAGTAGAATATACAGATTATCGAAGAGAGATGCGAAATATAACAATGCACGAAACCCGCCGTCTACGCGCAACCCTCAACTCAAAATTCGTTTCACTCGGTCGTAACATAGTCGCGATCCCTTTGCTTCTACTTGAATAATTTAGACGCAGAAAATCCATGCCGCTTTGGGGCAACTACTTATCCGACCACGAGGAATGTATGACACAATCACTATAGTCGAATGGGTCGCGAAGGGCTCGAGGTCAACGAAGAGGAGACAAACCCCACGCGGCGGACTGTTCATGCGAAAGCCGGCCAGGCTTTTTAATCGACGTCACCCCGAACGTACGTACGTCCGTGTGTCCGGTCCAGATTAATTTCATCATGAATGTTAGCCCAACACTCGAGGTCCAACCGCGAACAAACACCCTCCACGCACTCTATTAACAGTTTAAAGCGTATTACAGTCGCGTCGTCGAGCCGCGCTTCGCACGCACGATCAACACCGGCGAGCCACACTCGGGGGGATGATGGCTTTACCCCCGTCAGAGAAAATTTATACGAAAATGTTTGCGTTGCACAGTTGATCCGTTTGATCGTTCGCAGTCGAGTTGACCGCGCCGGTATAATTTCAGCAAGTTCCATCTTCGCGGAAGGTATGGACGAGAGAAACGTGTACTTTGTGTCTGATTTCGTAGACAAACATTGAGATTATTTCTGGAATTTCAACAATGAGATCAATACTTGTATAATTTGTGTGTGTAAGAATAATAATGATTTTATTCTTTATTATTATCTTTTTTTCCTCAAAACTAGTTTAGTTGATTTTTAAATGATTTTGAAAATTTTCACTCATGCAATTTTGGTGGTCTCGACAATTTTAAGGTAGCATCAAGATATGCATTGTCTGATTAAATAAACGTCTGATTAAATAATAATTGTTAAATATCTTCTGAACTGTAAACTTTAGATCACACAAGCAAATTTTCTCAGGAAAATTTTACGTGAAATTTCATGCTCTATCCGATGATTGTATAAAAATTACTCATTCTCATTTAAAAAACAAAGTTGACCCTGAAGTAACCTCAAAAAAAGTCATTTTTTTTAATGCAATGTCATTATCTTTCTTCCAAACCAGAGCCCTTAAACTTTTGTTTGACACGCTGTTTTCTGTAATATCTCATTTTTAATTTGTGCAATTAAAATGGGAGACTTTTATATGAATAAATCCGATCTCGATATGCGCGACATGTAAAATGTATAAGAAAACATTGAGCGAATTTTTATCTCAGTTACTGGCTTCAGTTCTCCTTAGATAGCAGGGGTGCAAAAATAATTCAGAATATAATACGAAAGGAATAAAAGGTCTGGAGAATATTTCGAGATAAACGACGATAAAATCGCGGAGGTATAATAACGAAGAATCAATATTCGAATGACATTCTGTCGGTTTTCCTGCTGTCGCTGTTACGCATCAATCTGACAGAAATAACGGCGCCGGCTTAATCGGCGCGTTTTGAAAAAAGAAACGGCACATTAATAGCTCGCGGAGTCGACTGAGGTAGCCAATTAGGTGTGTCTGGAGAGTAGGAGACTCGCGTACGCTAGTAGAACAAACCACGGCAAACGGAGGGAGTCGAGTAGCGAGACGAAGTAACAGGGATAGATAGAGGCATCGAAAGACAAGAAGAAAAATACGAAGCGCGATCCCTTTTTCCCTCTTCCTCGCCTTTTTCGGTGGAAATAAAACTGTTGTATCTACTAATAAAGGCGGAGTCTTACTTTTAAAAGCGCGCACTCTACTACCTCTCTCTCCCTCTCGCTTTCTGTCCTTCTCTCTTTCTCTCTGTCTCGCTCTTTCTCTCTTTCTTCTTCTTCGTCTTGCGTTAAAATAGGAGGGATTAGTTCCTATGGTAGCGCGGGGGCTTAAGCATTGATGAGGTTTTTAAATGGGTTCTCCTTTGAAGAGAACGCGAAAGGCGAGTAAGGGTGGCTACGACAACGAGGGCACAAGGGGGGAGACGGGGGCGGGCGATATTTACTGGGAGATTAAAAAATCGAGGGAAAAATTAAGTGTTACGGGGGCACGCCCCCGTCTTGGACTTAATTCTATGTAATCCTCTGCTAAGATCGCCGAACCTTCCTCCCCCCTCCCTCCCGCCTCCACCCCCTAGTCCACCTTCTGTACTCCCGTCACCCTTCCGCATTATTCCGCTTTCGGGAGAGGTCGATCGAGATTTTCATCTCTCCTCGTGTAAGAATACATTTTTTGTCGCTCACTAATCGTGCTGAATTACGCTCGCTCGGGAAAACGTAAAGATTTCTAAAGGAGTTCGTAAGGGTATTATCTGAATGTTGAGTAAAACGACTGGATCCTGGTTCAAGACCGCGAAGGGAGGCTCGCTTTATGTCCGTTTACGCGCGCGGTCTCGACTGATAACTGAAGATCGAATGTTCCCTCGGCGGAACTGAGCGAAATGAAATTTCGCTCCACCAGCATAGGTCGTTACTGCGAAAGGACTTTTTCCCAGCCGGCCGCGGTCAAATAATAATGAAGCTTAATTACATGAGGCCAAGTCGATATGTTGGCGATACAAATATTTAGAGGGCGAGCGCACGGTGGTCGTGAAGCGATGTTATTAGTAAATTAACTGACATCAAAGAAAATGCGAGCGCTGGTCACTTACTCTGCTAATGGAAAGCTTGCATCCTCCTACACGTGCGAGAGAGATATACGCGAATACATATATACATATACATATATATATATATATATATATATATATACTTTTGTTATATATTTTATATATTTATGATCTGCAGATATTAATTTCACGTGTGCCGCGACATAATACTTTGAATTTATATAACATTCAATAGAAAGATTAAAATAAATGATTCGTGCGTGTTTAAAAAATGCGTTAAATATATGCTCAATATGTAAAAAATAATTAATCGAACGATACTTCAATAAATATTATATTTTGGTAAAACACTATATTATTTTTTGTTTTACTTTGTTAAGCCATCAATATTTTTGTTAAAATATTATGGTATTGTAATATTTTAACTTGAATTTATATATATAATTCAACCACGAGAGAGAGAGAGAGAGAGAGAGAGAGAAAGAGAGCCAGTAAAGCTATCCCCCGACAATCATCCTGCTCACTCATTTACCCCACCTTACACTGACCACCACCCAGCCTCATCGAGTGGTCGCATTAAAAGCACACCGCAACCGTCGTCATTGACGAGTGAACTTTTTAACGATCGTCACTGTGAGTCCAAATCCCATAGGTTGTCGACGTTTAAGGGGATGATGACGCGTACTTTCGCTGACGGAAAGCCGGGAGATCCGCGCGCAACCCTCTCTCTCCGTCCTTCTCCTCGCCGTCTTACCTCAGAGATCGGCTTCTCTCCGCCGGGTGTCCGTTGTGCAGGGTCTTAAGGGTGATTTTTTTTCCCGTTCTTCGGTCTCGCCGGACTAAATTTCGCGCGTTAAGCCCTCGGTGTAATCCCGCCCTTAATATTCAAAAACGTGATCGCCCTGCCAAGCGCGCTGTGGAACTGGTCCATGGCTGGTCCAACGGAGATGCCACCTCGACGGGGGGAGCTTTTCATATGCTAATTGGCATTCGTCATTTTCTTATGGCGCCGACTTAAGTGTGCTTAAGGCTGCTAACTCCTTCCTCGGCGTTAGAGCTGACTAGGCCTCACCGGCGTCCTCGTAATTGGACCTCTCGCGATTCGACCTGCGCTCACATGCCGGCGAATACGAAATTCGTCATTCCTAAGCGCGTTCGAGAGCTCCAATCTGGAACTGAATGACCCAATTGAGGTATGAGATGAGATTTACGCGTGTCAACGGCCCCTCCCGATAACTTGTGTAACATACATCACCTGTATAATACATTTATATACAGGGTAAGTCTCTTAACGTTAAATTCTAACGTTGTATTAGAAAAGATAATCTTGAAATAAATGTCTCGCCGACTACAATATTTATCCTTCACGCATCTCTCTCTAATGTAATAAAAGCAAAAAAATATTTTAAAATCTAGCGCTAAGCGACTTACCCTGTATATTGTTTAATTTTGAATTTCACTCACGTACGTCACGCAAACTTTCACAGTTCGTAACGCGCGCGTGTGTCGTTAAATCAATTAATTATTAAACCCCTTGCTAATGAAATCGCGGGTGTTAAACTTAGAAACAAATGTAGCTTATTAATAGTTGGACTAGACTTGTTGTCGCAGCAAATTTTGAGCAGATATTAAGGCAAATTTCTGACAGATGTTTCCAATCCAAATACCTTCTGAGATAAAAGACGGACGTTCCGATTATCCCCTTTGTGCACTCACACGAACAGCGATGTTGAATCAGCGCGCACCTACGCACGATATAGGCGTCGGTAATGTTATCCCCATCACGGTACTCTCGCATATTACACTCTAACTTTATCGAGAGATATCTCGCCGACGTATCTCTGTGCGAAGATAACGCGCGTATTCGTCGTCGAACCGCGCCTGTGCGCTCGCGTAGTACGCTCACGTTTCTCCTGCGCAACGAAAGAATCAAAGAGAACCGGAAGAACGGAGGAAAATCTTCAAGCAGCGCAATTTTACTCGGGATGTGGCCGCCACGCGAGTGCGCGGTGAAGAAACGATAGTACTGACACGACGAGACAGCGAACGCGATTTTCATCGCCAAGTTCGAGTTCGCGGAGCGAGTTTGAATAAACGTAAGTGCCAACGCAACGTACAAATAGTACCTTCCGTCTTAGTCTCCGTCTTGGTTTGATTAGTTGATAGTTTGATTCGTTGATTAAACAACGATTACTCACCACTGTGCCCTTTTCACTGTCTTACTTTAAAAGCTTCTATTCGATATCGGAGATACCTGTGACGCTCCCGCGATTCTAGGAAAACAATGACTCATGATGACACATAAACTGACCTATATCAGACATGTGTCGTTTTCACACGTTTTTTTTATCACTTCTTCCTCGAATATCACACATAACAGCTTGATCTGTCTCCAGTGGAAAAACTTGATGATGAAAACTTGATGCAGAACGCGATCAATATGTACGACTGAATATGTACAATTGAATATGTACGCAATAGAATGGAAATCCGCGTGTTTACATACGAATCCATGATAACACTTTAGTAGTATCTCGTTTCAATTAAGGGACATATCACCTCGGGAGAAATGACGGTCCGTCTTCGGGAGGTGGTGAGGTCGGATGTAGAAGGAGGTTTGTCGGGACCAGCCAATCCGATACCAAGCCAGTCGATCGATTGCGGCTGTGGACAGATGCAATGCCCGAAGCTCGCGAAATTCGCGACGCGAAAACTCTTCGTGGGACTAATATGTTGGGTCGGCGTGGTGCAAGCCGCCTCCCATGCCTATTTTTACGTGACAGGCTCCACGATCGCTCGGAAGTTTCTGATTAATCCGTATTTAATGAGTGCGTATTGCGAACACAAAGTGTTCTACAGTTGTGCCGATCAACAGAGATGATTAAGGAAATATTTGAAGAGAAGGAAAACGCTGTAAGAAATTTTTTTCCCTTTCCAGATTGGATCCTCGTTACGGCGGACTTAACACCATTTATCCTCGGATTAATCATAGCGTACTGGGGCGACAGAATACACAGAGCTTCATGGATAGGCGCCTTAACTCTCTTAGAAAGCGTCGCGTATTTCGTTCTGATAATACCACACTTGACGCATCGCGTTCACGTGACCGATGAAACGCTAAATGCCACTCACATGTCGCTATACGCAGGTCAGATGTTCGAAATATAAAATACGGGATAACTTTTATTGCAGCATTGCATTTTTTCCCTTGAATTGGTATCGAAATTACGTAAACTGTGCACGAAGAAAAAATTTGATTGAATTAACCAAACGTTTGGTGAAATATAATCCTCATCGTGAATGAACCAGATATTTTGGTTGAAGTTATTAGATTGTTTATTCAATTTAAAAAGATTTCTGGTTAAATAGAATTTTGTTAAAACTTCAGCGAATTTCATCAGACGTCTGGTCTAATTAATCCAACCAAATTTCTTTTTCGTGTATGATACTGAAGAGAAAAGAAATTTCCCCGGCATCAACGACGTATCTTGGATTTCAGACGACAGCCCAGAATTATGTAATTCCGCAGCATCAAAGATTATCATGAAAGAAGACGAGACCTGTTACTTCACCATGGTCACCCTTATTATAGTACTAATTATAAGCGGCGCGTCAAATATCGCTTACTACGCACTCGGGATCTCCTATTTGGACGACAACACAAAGAAAAAACACGTGACCGGTTTCATCGGTGTAATCATCGCCGTGCGGATTATCGGTGTTCTTCTCGGATATCTTTTGGGCTGGGGATGTCTTCGGTGAGTGTTTGGACGTGAAACTTAGCAGCTGACTACTGAATGTATGACTACTGAATTCGCAATCACAAAAAGTCAAATACTACTGTGTCCAAAAAGTAAGACCAATTTAAAAAATTTTTTTTAAATCTTTATTTATTATTCCAAATCTATTTCGTCGCCTTCAAAGTAATCCCTCTCAGACACAATACACTTATGCCAACGTTTTTTCCAACCCTACGGTTGGAAACCGTATTATGTGATGCATATAAACCCATACTGCAGTGATAGATATAAACCCACCATCTCACACTGCATTGGTTCTTCGAGACCATTTCGCTAAAAATTCGACCCATATCGTTCCACAACCACCATATTCACCTGATTTAGCACCGTGTGACTTCTGGCTATTTCCTAAACTCAAAAGACCGCTCCGGGGACACCGTTTTGACTCGATTGAAGAGATACAAGCTGAATCGAAGAAAGCTTTGAAGGCCATTCCGGAAATTGACTTTAACAACTGTTTCGAGGATTGGAAAAAACGTTGACATAAGTGTATTGTGTCTGAAGGGGATTACTTTGAAGGCGACGAAATAGATTTGGAATAATAAATAAAGATTTAAAAAAAAATTTTAAATTGGTCTTACTTTTTGGGCATAGTAGTATACTAACGTTAGAGAAGAACAAATTACATCAAAATATACATATATTTATCCTTTAACGTGTCAACTCGCCCAGGATAGATGCGGAAAATCTCAGTGTCGTGAAATCATATCGGGATCATATCGGCGCGTGGTGGCTTGGATTTCCAATTCTCTCTGTATTATTGATAGTGCCTGGCTTGTTGCTCTCGTGGTTCCCCAGAAGACTCCCTTCAGAGGTATAACACAAGTTAACCTGTCAATTACTTTGCATCGTATAAGAGTTTGCAAAAGAGATACAACATTTGCAATATATTTCAATTCAGGTTGTCGAGCAGGCTGCAGCCTCGCTTCTCGATCGGGCTGCGGTGTACAATCGAGCACCTCATCGAACGACCTATCAGAAGGCCGGTAGCCCGAATTTTGGGCCGTCACTCGTAAGGTTGATTACTAATAAGATTTTGATGTTCAACGTGCTGGCGACGGTATTCTGCGCCACGGCGCTTCTGAATTTCATGACACACGAGGACATCTTCTTAGAGTCTAGATTTCATATAGCCAGGCCGACAGGAATGTTTCTTGGATTTAATGATCCTCTACAATCCAGGCTAATTACCAGTAAGAACAATCCATATACCACTGACGAAACACGTATAAGTAAAAGAGAGGGAATCGACGATAATCTATGTTGGGGTATTTGTTTGAAAAAGATACATATCGTATTATCCCATAAATAATGCGGATTTTTCGGCAATTAGAAATTATGGTGGTTGGAAAGAAAGTGCTAAAATGATATAAGTAAAGGGATAAGACGTTAATGCTTATTTTAACAGTCACAGTAAGGTTAATATTGCATCACTTAAGTTTATCAAGAAAACTCGCATTATTTAGGGGTAACCCATATTTTCCTAATAATATAACAGTGAAAATAATTGTCGATATAAAATTACCAAGATAAATAGTTATCTATATGAATTCACATAACAGAAAGATTAATAAAATTAATTAATTAATTAATTAATATCTCTCAACGAAAGGTAATTGTTGAGAATGTTGTGCGTGAAATATACTTTTTATGTTTTAAAATGGGTAAGACGATACAAGAATGCAACACTCGACATACTTGATTCCAGATATCACAAAACCTATTCTGATTGGCCTGATCGTAATCATCAGTGGCTTAGTGCTGGCAAAGGCGAAGCCGCGCGCGAGATTTATCGTTGGTTATAGTTTCTTCGCCCTTCTTTTCTCTACAATGATCATAATCTTGCTGATCTTCGTCACTTGCGAAAAGCCGCCTATCGTCGGTATGGACCAGGGCTCGTAAGTTTGCTTAGAACTAACACCTATTGTCGAATATAACAGCAATACACAGTAAAAAACAAATGTACAGCATATAAAGTAGCGGACAAAAATTTTAGACGATAATCGCGTTCGATTAGCATGAATTAGTTTCGTAGAAAGTAATAAATATACTGCAGATTACACTATTATATTACGTAAAATCCGTAAACATATTGTACCAAATAATTTAAGGGCAGACAATATATTTGAGACTGTATTGCAATTAATGTTATACGCTAAAAGAAAAATATTTGAAATAAATACAGAAATGAATACTTGAAAAATACTTGAAATAAATAAAATAATATGCAAGTAAACTTGATTTCACAAAAATAAACTTTATATTTCACAAATAAATTTTCAAGTATTTATTTCTCAGTGTGTATATAAAAAATTTCAGAACGAAATGAGATATATAGAAATTGATATTTTGTTGAATGACAAACGTTAAATGTATGTCCATTACTTTATGTCATACAGCTTCTATCATATACGTTTGATAATAAAATCATTCATACATGTACTAAGAGTTATGATAGGTTCATTGGTGACAGAATAACAGATCGGTTTGTTAAATTATGCTTCTGTACAGGATCGGACTATTGAAATATTGCAACAAGAATTGTCGCTGCTCAAAAGATGCTGAATTTCGGCCGGTTTGTGAAAGCTTGGGAACGTACACGTATTACAATCCTTGCTACGCCGGCTGCACCACAGTCATTTACGTCAACAACGAAAAGATCTATAGTGGTTGTGGCTGCGTAGAATATATGACAGGGTGGGGTAATGACCAAGCGAAAGAAGGCCCGTGCGATTCGAAGTGCCAAGCCGGTTGGATGCTTTTTCAGGTGACTGACTTGACTCCTATCGACTGTCCCGCTTTTTATGTCATCTTGCCAAAGTATCATTATTTTAGAAAATTATTCAGTATCATTATTTTAGAAAATTATTCAGTATATTTTAGAAAATTATTCAGTATCATTATTTTAGAAAATTTCACCGCAGCTAACAGATCGACACTCGAATCGATCGCCATTGAGAAATGCCCTGTTTTCCTTTTTAGTTCGGAACTTCCGTGTCGTACGCATTAATCGCTTCTACTTTCGTGGGCGAACTGTTGATCAACATAAGGTCTGTTTATAAACAAGACAAGGCAATCTGCATAGGTTTTTGGATGACATGCATCGCGATTTTCGTCAACGGTCCCGGCAAGATTTTTTACGAGATTGTATCGTATCAGGCGTGTCAACTTTGGGGCAGACAAAGGATAATTTGCCATTTGCACGACGGTGAAAAGCTTGGAAGCTACCTGTGCTACTTGACAATATTCTTTCTGTCATTAAGTCTTGTTTTCAAAATCATTGTTTGGTGTTTCTCTAAGAATTTACGGCTCTACGGAGATGTCGAAAGAGAAGTCAAGAAAAGCGGCGAGATACAAGAGCTGGTGGAACAAGCAAAAATACTTGAAGAAACGGAGACACCGATTAATAATAGTAAATATCTCTTCTCATAAAGTAACTAAAATCTCGTGTAAAAAATATCTCGAGAATTATTCATTTTTCGATACATTTATTCTAACACTTTCATCTAAAAAATAACCAGAAAAATAAAGTTTGAAATTAAGTTTGAAAGATCATATGTAATTCCTTAAAAAAAAAATTAAGATGATTTTGAAATTTCTACTCATAAAAGAATTACTATAGCCACGTTATATATTCTTACTAATTACATATAATTATTAATTACTAATTGTTAATGTAATGCAATAATCTAATGTGATGCAGATAATACAACGGCACAAGTAGAGACAATTGATATTGAACCGGAATCGATATCGTCACAGGAGACAACGATGCCGGAGGAAAATTTGTCGAAAAAAGGAGAAGAAAATACTCAGAAGAATACACCTTTGAAGTACGGCCCGTTGGGTTCGGGTGATCGCCGAGTAACGTCGGTTGTGGATCATTCAGCGAAAAGCAATTCGCAAGCGACGATCCAAAACCTCGACTCCGAGGACGAGCTTTACAGTTCGAGCGACGAGAGCAAAAAGCGATCGAGTCCACAAGTAGCTTACACACCGTTGGAACTCGACTCCGACATCGAGAGCGACCTTAGCAGCACGGAACCCAGATCGAGGAAGCGTGTCTCGAGCAAAGATTACGATCATACTTACAACCACGAGGACGACAGCTCCTCGTCCAAGAACTCGTCCATAATACGCCGATTTCCCAATCCCGATCACTATGAAGATCCGCGAAGGGCGAGATACAGGAAGCAGAATGGCTACCAGGACGGCTCGCGGAAGACCACCAGCTTCGAGTTTCAGAGAAAGGGTCAGGAGAGCGACGTGTTCAAACAAGGAGACTTCAACGAGGTCGGCATACCGATAGTAGACCCGCTTCCGGACGGGAAGGGCGACTCCGCCGACACTAACACGGCGCACTCGACGGACGTGAAGTCGCTGATCGATCAATACGAGCAGAACGCGAGTCAGGAGACTATAGACGAAGATCAGTTATCGGTCAGGTCGGCGGAGGATACGAAGACTCGAACGGAGAACAAGATCGTGTCTGGCATTCCTCTGGTGGCCATGGTGCCCAGCAAACAGTCGTCTCGACGGCAATCCCCTGCGGGTTCCGGCAGCTCGCCGGATGTGCAGGACAAGAACACCGAGCAACGTTCCGGAAAACACACGCCCAGCCCGAAAGGTCCCGCTAAGGGAGGTAAACCCACATATTGCACCGATCTCTGAAATCACGATCGCATACACGACGCGATAGACTATGCATGACAAGTAACTATTCGCGTTTACGCGAATATTTATGGGGTGGGAGAGGGGAATGATTCCATTAGTGTGGAGCATCAAGCGCTGAAGTGATAAATTTACAGCCGTGAGAGATAAGAGATTTCGACGATTCGAATAGTCACATAACACGGCATCATCTGCACCAACTGTCGCGTTTGATATATACGATGCACGCGCTGAATGCGCCTGTTGGAGTTATTTTCAGTGGCCATGAATACTTCCAAAGTGACGCTTTCAAACACATTGGTTATATTTTCGTTTTTACCTTGTCTCCACGGCCGATTCAGAAACGAATAAATAAACACTTTGTTTGCTAAAAGGGGGAAGGAGACAACTTCACGTGCATACTCTATATTCGTTAATAATTCTCTCTAAAAAATATTATCTTATCTTCTCAGCGGAATCTTCTTGTGTATCGGTCTCAAAAGGAAATTCTTGCAAAACCAAAAAGAAAATATTCTAATATCTCAAAAAAAGGATTCTAGTTACAAAGTGCTATTTTGTAATAATCCCATCTTCTGAGCGAGAGCTTTTATTGAAAGAGTATTTTTCTTTTAATGAAGTGAACTGTCAGTTGGAAATCTATTAGATATTATTCCAACTTTCTTTTTTGGATAAAAAAAAATATGTTTACTTGAAGCAAAGTGTGTTTTGCGCGATAAGAGACACGACAAGGAAGACTTGTCTTATGGACAAGTATTGTAGATTTCGTCTTTTAAGACGAAATTCCTCTAACTTTAAAGAAACTGTGCTGAGAATATTTTCCTTTTGGTTTTAGAAAAATGTCCTCTTAAGGCTATTTATGTTCAGAAGGTCCTCTTAAGAATGAGATTATATTCTTTTGGATGTTAATATGTAGATTATATGTACGCTAAAAGAAATTATCCGATAAGATCTAACAAACGGATATTTCCGATCGAAATATCGATGGATTTTTGTATCCAATGAGAAATATCGGTTCATAATTTCTTGATCAGTTTATCTTTGATCAGTTTATAAAATTATAATGGAAAGTATCCAATTAAATTTAATCGGATATCCTGATCGGATATATAAAAATCGATCGAAATATCCGTTTATTAATTTTTTATCGGATAATTTCTCTCAGTGTAGATTTTGCTCGACCACATATATGCGGCGTTTGCGAAGGAGAGACTAATTTTGGAATATATATATGATTTTCTCAGCAAATGGATTAACGTGGTGACAAAATTTTCGTCAATCATAAAATATCACGATCTTGAGTGCAACCGTCATTCTAATTATCAAATGAATTCTAATTTTCAGATTACACACACACACACGCACACACACACACACACACGCGCACACACACACACATATATATATATATATATATATATATATATATATATATATATCTGTAATCATTTCAAATTTTTAGTTACACAGTTAATAAAACATTAGCCGTATTCTACGGCATCCTCCCGCATTCATAGAACAAAGTATGCGTGCAATGACATTATTCGTAATGATTGTCCTATTAATAATTTATTACACGATTAAAATCCATCACAATATCGTAATTTTGTGGATTACTCTGTCTACCCGTCTGCTAACAGTGGCATCTTCTTACTTGAAAGGTAAAGTAACTGCGAGACACACGCGTCTTACATACATATAGACTAAAATTCCACTTCACAAACGATGCTCCGAAGAGAACGAAGTATCTCGAGCGGAGGGTAACTCGTCGCCCAAACAACGGATAAATACATCGTATATATAATCACTCTGAGAGTAGATAAATTATAGTTTCTTACTAACTTACTATTTCGAGTAGTGCGTAACCATCGTATGTACAATTATCGGACTTTATAGATGATTTTCTCTCGCGCTAAGGCAACGTGGATCATTGCTCTCATCATAGACAGTCCCAAGCGGTGCGTACAGAGTGTACTTACACCTCGTATGTACCGCAACCGGCGATTAAGATTGTCTTTGTGTTCGCTTATAAAAAAAAAAAATCCGTAATCAAGCAAATATACGTCGCTTTAATGACAAATTGATCTATTTGCGATAGAAACAAGTGACCACACAATTAGATCGGCATCAACGAAAGATCGGAAAGGTCGTATTGCACGTACCTTCCAGTACCGCGGATGATCTGACCAGCGATCGACTGTATCTAGGTTACTGCGAGCTTTAAATGTCTAAGGGGGATGCTTAAGGTACTTGTAAAGTCTTTATTTGTCGGTTCTTGCTCGTCGCGGCGCTCTTCGTTTGCTCCTCCTTGGTGATCCTCGATCGAGGTTTCCTTTCGCGTAACGCACGCCCCGAAGGGGCGCGAGTGAACTTACTCGACGTCAATAATTATTCTTTAATGCGTCTCGCCGGGCTCCTCGGCTATATCCTCCAGTTCGATCTCCTCGTCGAAAATCTTCACGTCCTTCACGTAATACCAAACGCCCACGTCGAATAACGTGCCGATCGTTACGAAACCTGAAACGACAAGGACGGCGTTACGTGCAAATGAGGACAATTAGGAAATTCGTTCCCCTCATTTTCTTTTGTTCCTTTTTTTCCTTTATTTCTCGAGCGGAATAATTCTGCGAGGTACTCACTGGCTGCGGTGAAGTTCAGCAGATACCTCAAAGTCTCGCCGTTGTATAGCCAACAATTACCCGTGCCCGAACACGTTTTGCCCCATACAAGGCAGGTCTTGTCTGTGCGACAGATAAAATGTTAATCAATCTCCAAACAGAGAAAGCGAGAATGTAACTAATTGCACACGCATACTCGATAACGATTTGAATCAACCACGTCACGGTATACGCAAGTGGAGAAAGATGCAAGCAGACATTGAGCACTTTGTCCTCGCTGTTTGCTGATAATACACTAAGCAATCTGATCGTCATTGACCACATGTGTACACAAATGAGCAGCTTACCTAAGATAAATCCAAATAGAATAGGTGACGGTATAAAGGCGAAAAGGCTCATTATCGTCAAGCCGAAGCCCATGGCGACGGTTTTATCCTTCTCGTCCACGCATCTCACGGAAACCAGAAAATTCGACGCTCTCCCGGTCGCTCCACTAAACTTCAGAAGGCACACCACCGCCAGGAAGATGTAGAACTTGTGCATACAGTCGACCGGACACGAGCCTGGCACGGCCGTGCCCAGAGCTTCCACGATAGGCTCGGTCGTATCCAGAGGCGATTCAGTGAAGAATAGGGAAGTGATGTTGGCGTATGAGTGCGTCAGAGAGCGGGACAGTTTCGGCTTTACGCAGCTGCAGTCGGTGTAAACTTTGCTGCCGTTACTGAAAAGCTGAGGAGAAAAAGGCATCAGTCTAATTGTATGAAGAAATTGTTATGCTATTACACTCGCGTTATTAACACGGAGACACTCGCCTTTGGTTTTTACAAAACATACAGAAAGAGAGCAAAAATCGAAGATATAATTAATAGTAATCGCGCAAAAATTCCGTTCTTTTCTCCGTTATTATCGACGAATAAAAAATGAATCTAAAGGCAGGAATCTAATCGCAGGAAAAATTTCCGTTCTTCCATTTTTACTTTTACACGGAGAAAATATATATATGACAGTTTTCTTCATATAATTTCTTTCTAATTTTACTATGTTTCTAGTAATGCAGGAATAGACTGCCAGTAAGATCTTATCTTGCTAAAAAACATAACAAATTTCGCTAAAATTCTAGAAAATTTTTCAACAATATATTTCAGTATCTAGAATCTAGTATATACTATAAGTAACATGTATAAAATAGAAGGATAGTCAATTGTTGCAGAATATTGATCTACTTCTCGACCACAAAATTCTAAAGTAATGTTTACTATAAAATTTTCGTCATGTAATTTTTGCCTCTTTAATAGCAGTCGCTCTCTTAATTTTCTAACTCCAATTAACCCTTTAACTCCAATTATATTAGCGTAACATAGCTGTGTTGGGAGACGAAATAATGAGAAAAATGAATTAAAAGAAAAGCTTTTCATTATTCACGAATATAAACGCTAAATCATAAATACAATACGCTGCATTGGCGTTTCACGGGCGCAGCTGTTACCTTCAGAGCCAAGAGTCGGGAGTTAAAGGGTCAAGAGCAGATCTCCATTCAAAGACTGTTTTCCTAAGAATCGTACAGTGTGACATCAAACCTTCATGCCGCGACAGCCAGCGTGACACGCGGATATAAACGTCTGCCCGTGCTCGGAGCACACCGGGTTGTAAGTGACATAGTCGCAGTTGCACTGCTCGTTACAAGGTAGTCTAGTCTTCAGGGCGCCGCTCGGCTGGATGGCGATCTGATCGTCGTTTGCCGAGCAGCCGAGGAAAGCGTAAGAGATCATTCCCATGATCGATATCACGCCGATCATAACGTTCCACCCCGCCAGATATCTGGCTTTGGGCTTGTACTTCGAGATGATCAGGCCGGACAGTAGAATGCCGAACGCGCTGAACACCAGGCCGACTGTGCCAGTGATCAGCGACGAGACGGACGCCGACTGCTTGTACTGAGTCTCGATGTATTTGGGCATGAAGATCCAGTACGGCATGTAGCCCATGAAGTAGAACACCGTCGCCAGATTGTTGCACATCAGAGTCGTGTTGGTCAGCAAACGCTTAAAAGTCCTCAGCATATCCCCTATCGAAGCGGGTAGCTCCGATTCTTGCTCACCCTTGATGCTCGTAGCGGATCGGTTGCGCTCCAAAGCCAGGACTTTGCGTGCGGCTGCCCTCGGCAGGGTTTTCGGGAAAAGAGCGATCACGCTCGCGAAAATGAAGAGTAGGATGGCTAGAATGATCCATCCCATCCACCAAGCACCTAACCACCTGAAATATTAAAGTTACATTAGGTTGTCGTGTTACACCCCAAAAAATATGTATATGATTTCATTCTTAGTGGAATTCTGTTACATACGGCCTCAAGAGATTTCTCTTAAAACTAAAAGGAAAATATTCTAAGCATCATATTTCCAAAGTTAGAAGGATTTCGCATTTCATCTACACACAAAAAAATAACTTATAGTAATATCAGCTAATAAAAATAACTTATAGTAATATTAGCTATACCGCGGTAGCTGACTCAAACTTAGTCAAAAGGCTAATCGTTTAGCTGTCACTGTTAAGAATTGACTATGACAGCTAAAATGTATTTGCTATGAAATACAAATATATTAGGTGACATTAAAAATGCACATTATTTTAAGTAGCTAAGAAAATGGCAGTTTCCTAAATTCCTAAATTTCTTATCATATGCTTATATTAAAGAAGTTTGCCGCACAGCTACAATCATTTGTTACAGTCATTTATTTTTAGTAGCTAATATTTCTTGCTGTAACGCCTAAGTTTAACAGCGAATAAATTTAGCTTCGGTAGTATCGACATTAGCTATCCCTATTTTAGTGACACATATAATCTGCCACAGCTGTTTTTTAATCGATTTTATCGGTTTTACCGCTACTTTCTACTCTGGAAGCTAGTTTTTGCGTGTACAGTACAAGTCTTGTTTTTAACAGAAATTTCTTTTAGCAAGAAGACATTCCGCTTCAAATCAACATATTTCTCTTAACTCAAAAAAAAAAAATGGCTAGAACAATATCTACCATGTTTACAATTAACAGGCCACTTCATTAGAAGAGGAATACTTTTCTAGTAATTTTCGCTTAGTATTACGCTTGGAATTGCAGGAAACTGACTAGAGCTCTTTTTGGGCATGAGAATATTTTCTTTTTGCTTTCAGAAGAATTCTCTTGAGGTCAAATAATGATAGGGTTCTGCTGAGGAAGAGATTATATTTCTTGGAGCAATATGTTTGAAGAGGAAACAGAATTTCTAACATTTAGAATCAAATTTGGTTCATAAGAACCAGAAATTCTGTTTCCTTCGACCAAAACGAGATCTTAGCATACTAAACAACACGAGATTTATCGATGATAAGCATTTTATCATAAAACGGCCGTTCAATTGCGACACGATTCAATCAAACAGTCGGCGCCACGTACCTCGGGTCTTGCGTCGTGATGGTAGGAGTCAAAGTCGGGCTGATGTAGAACTTTAAGGCGAACGAGGCCAGTCCATAGCCAATGGCGGGTCCCAGCATGCGCAGGAAGTAGGAAAAGCTGATCAACGCCGGCGTCTTCGACTTCTGTATGTTGTCGTCCATGTACGACACCCCAAGAGTGTAATAAAGCGAACCACCCACCCCGGACACTAACTGAGCTATAAAGAGCAGCACCTGAGGTGCGAAGTTCACATCGTCGACCTCGCAATCGTTCCCGCGAGTTTCCTTAGTCAGGCAGAGGAATTTCCGGTGTTTGTCGGGAATCACGCTCATATTTAGCGTGTTCTGGGGTTTACCTCCGTATTCTTTGGTTAACGACAAAGCATCCTCACCGGGTCCGTAGAGAAAATGCGGCAGCATTGTTAGGCAACAGAAGAGCACAACCTGGCAAGATGAACAATAGCGTAAGCTCGGCGACGTTCGCGAACGATTTTGCGTTTAAACCGCGCGCGCGAAAGAGAGAGAGAGAGAGAGAGAGAGAGAGAGAGAGCTCTGAGAAGAATTACTCGAAATCACACGTCTCCATGTAATAGGTTTTACCGATCTTTAACTTCGTTATTCTCATCTCTTTGCCGTTATTCGTTTCTCGAAATACGAACTGCGATCAGCTATCAGCTCGATGTATAGCGCTCCGCAAGCGCCTCTTTGCTATTCGAAGAATGGAGCGCTTAGCTAAGCATACGACGGCGAGAGTACGATGGTAAGAGGCATGAATGAGCGTAGCTACGGTTCCAACGCTTCCTAATTTAATTAAGAGCCGACCAACCGGTGAGGTATGACGTCTCCCGACTAGTTCCTCGGGGCGTGTGCCGACAGCTGATTTCATTTCTTGCCGACGCGATTGAAAGGTATGCCGCTAACGTTATATCGCATGCGACGTGTGCACCGTCGCACTAATCGCCTATCGTATACGTATATCGATATCCGGAGATACGTGCGGGCGAAACTTACGGTGTAGATACCGAATGCGATCCATCGAGGCCTGTGACCCCTTGCTGCGTAATACGACAGAACGACGGATACGAAAAGCTGCGAGATGTCGTTACCCACTGTGATGAGACCTGTACGAGAAAGAGCGCGTAAACGGCTGTTCGTATGTGGACAGGGACGGTATTATATTACGCGTAAATTATAACGTCGATTACGCGATCCACGTGACGTAACGGTTCGTTTAACGACCACGTCCACGTGTCGTCGTCACACAAGCAGGCCGCTTTTGAAGTTTCGAATCTCGTCACAGCGCGCGCAGAAGAGCGCACACACTGCACCGAAGTAAATGTTACTTGTTTCTAGTGTCCCGTAAGTTTACATATCCGCAAATCTATCGCGTGTTCATCATAAGCCCATCAGAATTATGCAAAGTACATTCTGAATCTTGGTAAGTTGAGCGTTCCAATCCAGAATATCAAGTTGAAAGAAAGTTTTATTTACTTGCCGCATAGAGTCGAGCCAATTTTTTCTTCGATGAATTCTTATGATATTCTTGTAAAGAAAATACATTCTCCTTTCTTTCCAGCACATGATAACGAATATTTCTCAAATTTGTGATGAGTATATTTTGAGACCGTTGTCAAGAGGAATTATAAAAAAATGTTTTTGAAAATAATAGTAACGTTAAAAATCATTATTAACTAAAGCCTATTTCTGTCAGAACGGTCAAAATGTTAGGTTTTATGAAAAAATACGTAGTGTGAGGAAAGAAGTGTCTACTTTGATTTTTTAATTTCATTTGACGCATCAATTGAGAATGTAAAATGCACCGTTATAACTTGAAATAATTTTTGTAAGAAATTACAGACGAGTCATGTAGGCTCTTTTGGAAATTCTAATGTTAAGTCGTTGCAATCAATGGACAATAGTAGCATCGCGATGAAGATGCAGAAACTTATTGGCTCCTCTAGCTGAATTCATTCGACTCTTCTAGTAGGTGAATTGGCCACAGTTATGCAAGAATGATTCAATCTACAAAATTATAATTTTTCAGTTTTTGTTTACCAATGAGTAAAGTTCACATGTCTTTCTATGTAAGACTAAAAAGATCCAAGCCTTATTGGTACCTAAAATAAATAAAAAAACATTTTTACCTTCTACTAGTGCCATTTTCTACTAGCTTCGTCTTTTTTAAGAGTTCAGCTTGTCAGTGAATATCGTTGGAAAGAAAAAAATTGGTCATGTTTGGCTCCTTGAGCAATTCCAAGGAACCTCAGTGCCATCTGTACTTTTTAAAGTATCAAATTTTCATTTTCATTTTTCTCGGAGCGTGCCTCACGTGGATTGGGTCGTTCTGGCATAACTGCGACCGATTTATCTCACGCGTTACCGTACATAGCACTGCATACAATAGATTGAAGCAACGAGACACGCGTATCGCACTTACCCGTCGTCTTGGAGGGTATTTTGAATCTCTTCTCGATGGTGGTGATGGTGCCGTTGAAGTAGGCGTAACTGGCGGAGAATATGCAGCCGAGAACACCGTAAAGGAACACGTACGCCTTCTTGTTGGCGAATCGCTGCAAGATCGGGCCCTTGAAGCACCATATGCCGCACGCGGTGTCATCGGTGATCGGCAGCTCCCTGAAGACATCCTCGACGCCTCTGGTCGGCGTGGTGGGCGACGAGGGTGTAGTGGGCGGCGTGGTCGGCACCTGCAGCAGCTTCAGGTTCTCCGGCCCGTTCTTCTCGTGGTTCGAGTTGCTCGAGTTGTTCTTCATTTTCGCCTCGGCCTGGTCGTCGCGACTGCCCGCGGCCAGCAAGCGACAAGCTAGCAGCAGCGACTTCGAGCGGACCTCTCAATGACCTCAATCGCGGATCGCACGGTTACGATGTGACTTCGTCTTCCACGCAGCCCTTGGCATCGCTTTTCCGTTCCGTTCGGCTTCGCCCTCGCGCTCACTCGCGGAATCACTTCTTCTTCTTTTTCTTCTTCTAGTACCGCGTGTCCCGTCACTCTGTCACGGTCACGTGTTCTCCATGTTTCGACTCGGTCAAGCCAACACCTACGTCGGGAGATCAGGGGGTTGACTGAGGTAGCTTGTGCGCGCGGCTCGGCGATTTATCGGCCTGGCAGACGCTCGACGATGACGGGGACGGCGATGACGGAATGTTCGAACCTTGAATCGAACCGAAGACGATTTGATATTTGCACAAACGGTCGGCGATTAATTGTTAAACGTTATTATCGGCTGTGTGGGGAGACACCACGGGTATTATCGAGATACAATGTTTGAACGGCTTTACTATAAAAATAGCTAATCTGTCTGCTGCTGCGAGCAAACAGAAAGTGTAAAGAAACACACGGCTTTGTTTCGAGCAAGTACAACGTAGTTTTTATCAGGACGATTACGATTCGTGCGTCTTGTGGACCGAGTCGTTTCGTGGACGAATCGACGGGAACCTAAGCGCCAGTACTATGCCGTAGCGTGCGCGACGAGAAATGAGTCGCGACGATGATGGTCCACCGTGCGCGAATTTTGAGCTGACGATTGCTGAAGGAAAGAGCGCGATTGACAATGCGAGCAATCGACACGAGACGCGGCCCACCACACCTACCGTTGCTTCAGGAGACAGACCCGGATCAAGTGGAACGACTCCTCGTGCGATCGCGACGACTAGGCAACGTGGGTTCCTCACGAAATATAGATTCGCGTCCGAAAACGAGGGGTATTCTTCCGCAACTGAGGTGCCGAAGCGCAACACAGAGAGCAGGCCGTATTCGATGCCTGCAGAGGATCCCCACCTTCCGCCTCGAGGAACCGATCGTATGAGACAGATCCGCAATGGTAGGTCCCCTTACACATACCTACGCTACCTCACCTACGGTCCACCGTGTCGTTATCAAGCGGGTAAATTCTGTCTCCTGCGATCAACCTATTCCCCCACCCCCCGATATCTCTCTCTCTCTTTCTTTGTGACCACCCCTCTTTTCTTTTCCCTCCTAACCGATCTCGATTCTTTCGTGCCTCCCTCTACGACTAGGAACTAGCCGTCCTCGTCGTGCACGAGCGTCGTCAGCTCGATTCGTCTGCGTCTGATAACCCGCACCTGCACTAAATGACAGGAGTAGGGATTCTCTTACGCTTGACTCTTCTACGTAGAAAAAAACGAGTAATTAACGGGGTAAACGCTCGGAGGATACACCCCGTGCCCCGTTGAGAAGCTGGGCGTTCGCGGAGTCAGCCGGTCGAGTCGTGATATCGTCTCCTCCATCTCCCGCGATCTCGTCGTCATTAGCTGTGGATTATTATTGAATTAATGATGTCCATGACTCCGTCAGAATCGAAAGCGAAGTTTGCGCAGAAGATCCTTGCGTGCTCGCGAGTAATTTACGATGTACATGATGTACATGTGATATATTTGATGGTGCAACCTAGATGATACCGGTGGCGATACCGATAAGTGGATACCCAAACACATTTCTCTCTCTCTTTTTCCTTGAAAAAAGATTACTTGTTCTCAAGCTGCCAGTTATCGTCTACATCATAGCTACTTGTCACGTTAAAAAACCAAACTGCGTTAACGATTTATATCGCTTGCTATCGCGAGTTCAATTAATTTTTATACGGTTTTAGTTAGGTTAAAACTCCAATTCCCCGATATCTATCTGGACAATCTTATTTTTGCTCTTTAAAACCGAATATTTTAACTTTCAACATAGAATATATATATATATATATATATATATATGTGTGTGTGTGTGTGTGTGTGTGTGTGTGTGTTATTACATAAAATTATGTAAATATATATATTCCTTATATATATATATATATATATATATATATATATATATATTATATTAAAAATTTAAATGTTCGTATTTAAAAAGATCAAAACAATAAATAGGTGTATGTAGGTATATGTAATAAGTACGTGTGCGGACTGTTGGTATTTTTGGAACCTTGTGATGTTCTAGTTTACATAAGCAAAATATTGTAGTAAAAATTGCAACAAAATTTTGGTCATCTTGGATCCTACAGAATTGTATTACCAAAATTACTGTATATTTTGTTAAAAAACGTCATGTACATTTGATTGTTCAATTTATTTTTATTTTGTTTTATAATGATTGCTTTTCACATTATATATTTGGTAGATCGCCCAATATTCACTATTCCTATAATAATGCTACAATTTCAATATAGTCCAACTTTACAGAAACATTGTAAAAAGAAATGTAATTTTAATGTAATTTCTACTGCAACACTTTCTCCATGCACAAATAGCCGAGAAGTAGGAGTTTTTTACGAATTTCGTAGTCTACTATTTATCGTCATTTCAAACATAAAATAAAATCGTTAGAAAGAGAGATTGAAATTCCGTCTCTTGGAGCTTGCGTTGGTGCGTTTACCTTAATAATGCCGGTTACCTTAAAACGCTCGGTTCCCGATCGGCAGGAAGAACGAAGTTGGAAATGAAAGACAACGCGGCCCGGAAACAGCATCTTTCGAAAACGTGCCTCTGCCCTCGCGATTCCCGCGTTATTGGAGAAACGGGGCATCCCTACTCAGGGTTCTGTTCGCAACGCATAGACTACGACGAGGTTTTGGCTTTCAGCACGGTGTTGTCTAAGCTCGTTTCTAGTCAACCTCCGGGAGCAGAAGCTCACATTGTGGACCCATTATGATTTAATAGAGCCGACGTGATGTACACACGCGCGCGCGCGCGCGCACATAGCCGCTCGGCGAACTCTTCCGTCTATTCCCGCGCATTGCTAATGGCACACATCAAACAGCTATGTCGCTAATAGCTGACGGGTAATTGCCGGAGGTTAATTTTTATATCCGCAAGATACACACACGCATACACGAGTCGAGCTTATTCGAGCGTTTGGGCAGCAGCCGCGCGGTCAAATTCGCGACGTCGCGTCACTCGCTCCGATTGCGCTGCTTTTCCGCAAAACGCTCTTGGATTACAGGCCAGACGGTAATTTCGGGACCTTGAACGCGGGAATGTTTAGCGTCACTCTTTTCCTTCTGCCCAATGCCGTTGGTTCGTTTAAAGTATGATAGTATTATGATACGAGGGTAGGCTTTAAAAAAGCGCCTGCACTCATTCTTGTTTTTCGAAATAATCTCGAATAAATACCTTAAATAAATAGCTGGCTTTACTTCTCCTCCTCCTTCCTCTCTTTATCACATGCGCGCGGACGAACGTAACGAACGATACCGCGAGATGACGATTGATTCAACTGTTGTTATCACGACGGGCTTTAAAATCTGCATGCGATAATGCATTTGTGTGCCCAAATGACTATCCAAACTTAGAATCTGTACTTAGAATCTCACGTCTTACTGAGGCCTGAAAACACACACGACACGCTCGGAAATCTCATCAATATTTGCAGGATGAAGAGTCCGAGAAGCGGAAGGGCGAGAAGAGGAAAGCTTTTCGGGAGTGGATAATTATTGAGATGCGAAACTAAGCTGCCAAATAGTCGATCAATTGCCGAACAGATCATTGCGTTTCCCGGGCTGACACTCGCCGTGATTTGCAAGAAATTCCTTCCCGCTACTGTTTGCTCGCAAACCTGCCGAGACGAATGAAAATTTACATCTGCGATAAGAGCATCATAAATACACTACGTTGCGTGCACAAATTTCTCGGAATCTTCGATCTTCCCGTTTTGTATGAAGTTTCGCAAATAGCCGGTATCAATTCGTCAGTCTATTAAAATCCACTGTCGCGGTAAGCTTATCTTTAGTCTTCTCGCCTTCGTCTACGAATAACGCCGGATATTCGCACGGAGAATTAGATTTTCAACCATAGGATAAGTGTCAATTGGAGAGATCTTCATCCGTGGTTCCCGCGATTATCGCCACAACGATGGAAACGTTCTCCTCCGGTTGCTTCACGTGGAAGTACCCGTCTTCAATCACAGCGTGATTGTTGAGACATTACGTGCATCGCCGTCAAATACTGTTTAATTGTAGGAACAGTATCGCACCGAGCTTGTGACATAAAGTCCATTAAGTTCTTTGCACTTGCCATCGTTGCAGCCCGTCAGATTTACAACGCCCAGACGCGCGTGACGTTGTCCAGATTCTGAATCGGCAAAACGCCTTGTGTATTCGCGAAAAAAAAATGAATATAATCCACTATGATTTATAAAGGCGCTCTCTCTATATTTGCTCGATTTCTCGGCGAGATACGCGACCTGTGGAAACCTGTATATCATTCGGAGACTGTCGCCTTTTTGGATCGACGCGGTGAGACTGAAGAAACGTTTCCACGAAACGCCTTGATATCCAATGGGCTATTATAACATCAATCACGATCGATTATCTCGTCAGCTCAAAGCTGATAAATATATACTTTTCCATTCGACGTACTTGTGTTCCTCGTATCATTTGCGAATATCAAAACTACATGAATTCAAACATCACCCCGAGATAAGCTTGACAAATAATTTATTTCAATAATAACGATGATTCTCTCACTCACGATGTTACTACTTGCATAATTCATTTGTAAAGTATATTTTCGAATGCACAGTTCAGATAAAGAGTAATTTTTGTTAGAATGTATTTCATTAAACAAGCAAATGACTTGCAAAACAATTAGGTGAGAAAATAAGAAAGATGAAAAAGAATAGAAAAAGTTAAGAATTAAATCCAAAGATGGAAAAGAGCTCAAAGATGAAATAAAAGCATAGAAAAAGAATATTATAGTTTTTTTCTTCACATAAATTCTTCTCAATTTTCTTATGTTTTTAGTAATGCAGAAATAGATTGTCGATGAAAGATTTTTCTTGATGACAAACATAACAGATTTCGTCAGGAACAGGAATTTTTTTAATAGCACATTTCAGTTCCTGAAATGTAATCGGTACATGTGAAAAATGGAGGAACGATTAATTACTGCGGACCAATTAATGTCGACTTGTTGCTCGGTATGCAAAATTCCACAGTAATTTTTGCACAAAATTCCGTCCGCGTGCGGGAGATACGATATTAATCTTACATACGAGCAACACACATACATGCGACTTTACAACAAGGGACTGCTCTCTGATTCGCGAACACTACCTTGCGATCTATTAAACAATTCACTTGCTCACCACGGCACGCGTCCTCGCGACAGATTTAATATCGTTATTACGAATTAACTTTCCTCCATCTGTCGCAATTCCTCGCACTTGACTATGACCGGCGCGAGTTATCTCGCGAGGAGAGAGAGAACAAGACTACTCCACCGGCGCATAGACGAATTTCGTTGGACGTTCTAAACGGCACAACCCACTTACGTTTGTAAATTACGCAGCAGAAGGAAGGTATGCCGGACGAGCTGAATTAGAATCGTTATTATTATGGCAGAGCTAATGGCCAATCTTACTTTTTCTCTCTCTCTCTCTGTCTCTCTCGCGCGTGCGCGCAGTCGTGCTTATTTCGTTCCCGCGATTAGTTCTTCATGTCGTCAGCTTGTATCAGTATATCGCCACGCGTCGATCGATTTTTACGGAGTAGAAAAGGAAACAGAACGAAAGAAAGAAAGAAGGAAATACCACTGTCGGACATCGCTCGACGTCGCATTTGCACATCGCGTGTGTGCGAATGCACATGTGTGCCATTCGGAGGAGAAGGTGGCGGATTGCATCTCCAAGATGATCGATAATAAAAGCGACGCGTTCCTTAAGTCCCGAAGTGGTGGAGGGTGAGTAAACCGATTGCTTCCGGTCGTCCACATCACACGCTTCTGTCCCTCTTTAGCGGCCAGTCTCGCTGCTAGTCTAGATCGGACTGTACCTCGACTTAGAAGACGTTGATGAGGTCTATATGAAAGATGGGTCAGGGTCATGCACAATGCAACCGTGTACACACAACAGCAAAACTTCCTGATACCGGCCGAGCGGCGCGCAGACACGACCGCTCTCGTTCGCTCTCTGCGTGGTCAATGTTCTTATTAATAATAAGAATTCGCGCTTATTACATTTGCTTGTCCAACGCCCGAGCTGAGTGCGTTTTGAGGACATCTCAATACGTCAGCCGTGAACAGCGATGACGGTCCTGACGAGGCTGAAAAAGGCGCGCGGATTGCAAAATCTTATTCCGGCAGTATCGATACTTTACTTGTAAAAAATCTGCGCACACGCGAACGGCGCTTGTGCGTATGTGCGAGTACAGTACGAGTGAGAAGACGTGGCCGAAAGGTTCTTCGAAAAAATTCGAACGCGCTCGTTCCTCGCGACAGATCACTCCAGTCGCGCGACAGGAAGAATCCGCGGCCCAAGAATCCTTCGCGAATCCTGATGTCACCGGCGAATCCTGATGACATCCCGCAATCATCCTCGCCCTCATCCTCGGCGGCGCGCGGACGTCGTTGACCAGCTCGCGGGGCTGATTCCTCTCGATTCGCGGTGTAACAAGGCGGTACGCTTAATCGCAAACGCCGGAGCGCATCCTCCAATGGTGTCCCGAAGGATGCGGTCGATAGGGACGATCTGACGTCACGGGAACGTCGCGGAATTCATTACACAGACCGAGCCGTCCGCTTTAGCTGGGTGGGCTTAAAAATTAAAAGGCTCTCAAACAAAAACTCCCTTTTTACTTCCAGCCTCGTGGGATGTAATCCCTTCTCTCCGGTAGTGGTCCGTGCCCTGCCGACCGCCTCCCCCTTCCCTTCCCCTGCTCACCCCTTTCCTCTCCTCCGTGAATTTCGACGGTGGCCTGAAAACAAGCCCCTAAGACTTCATCTCCGCCTTCCACCTTGTCTCTCTCTCTCTCTCTCTCTCTCTCTCTCTCTCTCTCTCTCTCTCTCTCTCTCTCTTGCTCTCGCTCTCGCGGCGCTCATCCTCTCGCTCGTCGCAGTCGTCAGTTTACCCACCGATCCACGATGTACTTTTTCGTACTCGTCCCGAGCGAAACCCTTTCTTTTCGCGAGCGCATTACGCTCTGTTTGCGGGAGATTCGGCGGGTGATACGGCAACGTGGAGAGTGAATGGAGCCGCCCTGGATGAAGCCGTGTGTCCGCTTTAATGCGTTCGATCGCGTTGGCCGAATGTTGCTGAAGCGGGGGAATGATCATTTTTTAGACTTGTGCAAAGATATAATGCATGAAATTTCTAAGAGACGCATCTGACGAACGCGTCCCGACGTTCCATTCACGCGCCAAAATCGCCTGGCATATCTTAGGCACGTAATGTAACGTATACTTTCTGTTCTCTCACGAAGCGTCAAGCCTATTAGATGCATATTATTGGCGCAGACGTCGGTTAAATGCCAACGCGGAAGGCTGGTGTGCACGCGTTTGCATTACAGTAACTCTAAACCCGAGAACTCGCGAGATGTACGCGAGGGACTGCGACAGGTCGTTGATAAATGCGAGGGCAGCCATGTGTTAACAAAAAAGAGAAACGTTGGTGATTTATTTACAAAGAGATAGGAACAAGCCACGGACAACAAAGATTTTCGAATAGGGGCTCAACAATGAGACTGTTTTATCAACGACAATCCCATTGCAGCCCTGCCGAATATTATCCCGAGTATTCATGTAGAATCATGTAAATGCGGCAATTAGAGCGCGGCATTGTGTGTCTGTCGACGTCATTTACGCGACTGGCTTCTGTCGTTAATAGAGTCATCGCTTTGTCTACGAATCATTGGAATGTTTCAGCATCAGTCGCGGAAGCCGCGAAATTTCAGGTACCTAGAGAACCCCGCGAGCCCCTACTAGGCCGCAGCGGCATGCGTTATAAAGGACTATGCTGTATCCTCTGATTTAAATTCCCGTTGACTTCCTTCTTCGTGTCCGTGGACTCAGTCGCCGCGTCCTCCTTCACGAACTCGCGCCTCTTGTCGCTCTCCGCGGCGCCGTACAGATCCAAATTTTTGCCCAGATACCAAACCATTACGTCGAAGAATACTCCAACTATGGTAAATCCTGCAAGGCGAACGAATGAGTTTTAGTGTTAGAAGAAGACAAAGAAAACAGATAAGTCAGTTATCAACGACGATATTTTAATAACGCGTAATTAGTCAGCGAAATCTTTGTCTATCGACTAACAACGTTGTTTTTCGTTATCTTTTCGTCTCGACTTGATCACTCGACTTTTTTATTATCTAATCGACGAGATATAAGCGATTGGGTAATATGCGCGGGTCGTTCAACTCGCGATACTCACCGGCCGCTGAAATGTTCACGAAGTATCGGAAGTTCTCCTGGTGATGGAACCAGCAGTTGCCCCGAGTCCCACAGGACTCCTCCCATATTATGCAGGTCGAATCGATGATAGCCCCGTAAATGATCGGCCCCGGGATCAGGCCGAACAACGAGATGAACATTAGCGTGACGCCCTGGGCGAAACTCTTGTCCCGCTTGTCGACGCTCCTATAGTTCACCAGGACGTTACCGATTCTTCCGGAACAGGCTAACGAGTGCACCACGCAGGAGAGCACCGTGAAGAACAGGTATGGCCGGTTGCAATCGTTGGGACACGGGCCAGCTAGAACCTTGTCGTAAGTCGGTGCCTGCGGATCCGGCAGGTACACGTGCTGTTCGGGAACGAACGACCTGCTAGAGCTGGGGTACTCGAAGTGGCCCAGGACACGGCTTACCGGCTCGTCTAACGGTAGGCAGCTACAGTTGCCGAACTGCTTATCGTCTAGGATCGTCCGGCATCCAGCGTGGCAGGCGGAGAAGAAGGTCGTCCTCGACGCCTCGTGACAGACGGGCGAATACTTGACGCCCTCGCAATTGCAATCGGTGTTGCAATTGGCTGTCAGATTAATTCTGGGAATAGACAAAGGTTGCGCGATGAATTAGATCGTTTTCCGAGCTTGTCGCGCCTTAATTTCAATGAAACCACTTAACAACAAGGATTCGTGAATACATAATGAATGCACGTGAATTTATTTAAAAGATAAGATTGAAGGATCAATGGTAAGTGAATCAATGGTAAGAGAGTAAAATTAAAGAATTTATTGCAGAAGAAACGAAAAAATTAAATTGAATCACCAGTTGTAGAAAAATCTAAAAAAATGCAATTGAAGAATTAATGAAAAAAATCTAAAATATTAAATTGAAAGGTCAATTGTGGAAGAATAATAAAAGCGAAATTGAAGAATCAATGGTAAAAGACTCTAAAAAATAAAATAGAAAGATTAATGGTAGAAGAATCTGAAAAAAAACATTAAACTAAAAAATTAATAGTAAAAGGCTCTAGAAAATGAAATTGATGAATTATTGGTAGAAGAATCTAAAAAGTAAAATTGAAGAATCAGTTGTTTTTCTCTAAAACTGAAGGTGTACTCACTGCATGGTTTCTAAGTTTACACCACGAATGCCAGTATTCGTGCATCCGAGAAATATGAAAGAAACTTGTCCTGCGACGTAGCAAATGCCGACGATTACGTTCCACGAGAGTAACGGTCTAGAGCTCGGCTTGAATTTGCTGATTACCAATCCCGACAATAAGAATCCCAATACCATGCCTATCAACGATATCGGACCTACGAACAATCACGAAGAGGCAAGTTTCATACGAAATATTGCGTATCCAAAAGACATTCCACTCCTTCATTCGAGATAAACCATTCCACAAGAACGATATATATCGACAGATATCGTAAGATGTCGTAAGATGTTTTGCAAGATGAAATTATTCAATAGTCTCGAATTAATTTTATTTTGCGTTGAAAATATTTTAGATAACGCGAGCTCTATTAAACTTTATTGCGCAGAATATTACGTAAGGAGCCTTTCTAAGAGCACGTAATGTAGTTGTATGTGGATCGACCTGCGTACCTGCTATCACGGTACCGCCAGCCGCGGACGTACTGTATTGAACTTCAAGGTACTTCGCCAGAAACGTGAAATAGATCGAGCCGCCGAGCACATAAAATACGGAGCTTAAGTTGTTGCAGGTCAACAACCAGTTGGTTAACAGTCGCTTCATGGCTTTGGGAAATTCGCGGATTGTCGGTATATACTCCGCTTCCAGAGGTATTGGCTCGCTGGGCTCCATATGTATCGCGCACTTCTGCTGGAGCACTACGTCTAGCTTCAGAGGCACCTCACCATCCTGAATAAAAATTTCTTTGTTAATAGACGCTGATGTTTCAGAAAAATGTCCATCATTTCGTTACATGTAAACGTTTGCTGAGTAATTTCTTTTCTTTGTACGTCATTTTTTAAATGTATATAATGTATCTTCTTCCCTTTTCTTAAAGGAGATTTTCTTCCCGCTGACATAAGCAAATAAATAAATATAATATGTAGAAGAAAAGGAACATTTCTATACGCCAGACGAGAATCACTTACGAATGTCGAAATTCGATTATGAAGTTCGAAACGATCAATAATAAATTATTATCGGTCTTCGATCCCACTTCATATGACGAAAAGCGGGTCTCGATATAACATTGTTTCTTATCGATAATACACATGTCACCAACGATAACAGCACTTTAATTTCAACAATGTTGTAATGCGCGCTGAAAATTACCTTCTTGGAAGTGTTTTTTGAAGTGGGTAGATCACGTGGAAACATAGCGATCAGAACGGCAAACATGCCCATCGTGACGCCGAGAATGATCCAACCGAGCCACCATGCGCCTAACCATCGCGGGTCCTTCTTCGTGATAACCGGATGGAGCTTTGGGTCTATGTATAAACTCAAGCAAGCATAGCTCAGGAGAAATCCGATCGCCGGACCCACAGTTCGTAAAGCGTACGTGAAACCTTGCACACGAAATCGGGGACAGTTAGAAATTCCACACTGAGAGAAATTGTTCGATAAGAAATTAATAAACGGATATTTCCGATAAATTTTTGTATCCGATCAGGATAGAAAACATCCGATGAAAGATATCGGTTTATAATTTTTTGATCGGCTTATCTGATGAAATGTTATATTATGATCGAAAGTATTCGATGAAATTTCCGGATCTTATATTCTGATATATCCTGATATATCCTGATCGGATATAAAAATTTATTGGTATTTTGATCAAAAATATACGCACCTTCGAAAGGCATTGCGCACAAAGAAAGAAATTTGGTTGAATTAACCAAGTGATTTTGCTTGAAGAGGAGAAGATTTCTGGTTCTTAAAGTCGAATATTTAATTTGATTAATAAGAATAAAAAATTGGTTCTCTTCAATCAAAGCGGTTCACTCATCATTCTTTAACCAAATCTTTTTTCTGTACGCTTTTTATGCTTCACATTTTTGATAATAAAATTTTAGCTTATGGTGCGTCAATAGCGAGCACTTTTGCTTTTTACTTCTATTGGCAAAATAAGTTTAACTCTTTAGCTCGAATCTTCAATCGAATTTTTACGAATTTTAAGTCCATTAGAATACAGTAAGCTTAACGAACAAAGCTCACCCAAGAGCATAGGTATGTTTTTCTTCTTCGTGTTATCGTCCAGATATGTCTGTCCCAAACCGTAGTAAAGCGTGGTGCCGATACCAAGAATAAATTGAGAAATAAAAACCAGCAATCGGGGGAGCATGTTGGTGCTTATCATGGTTTCGGCATCGCATTGCTCTGGAATGTCTGTGCGTGGGCAAATCGCAAGGTCCTTCGGGACTGTCGTCATATTCAACAAAGTCTGGTCCAGATATTCTTTCGTCAACGCCAATGCATCCTTCCCGGGTCCGTATATGAAGTGAGGTAGAGCCAAAACGAGGCAGGATAACGCGCTCAAGGCGACACCAACCGCGATCCACCTCGGCCGATGACTAGATCCTCCGTAGTAGGTCAAGATCAAAGACAAGATCTGAGAGATCTCGTTGCCGGAGAGGATCAGTCCTAAGAGATGTAACAGATGAAATGAAGCAGTAGGACAATTTAGTTATATCATTCATTAAATCGCACATTAATTTACGAGTTAGAATTATTAATTGATGATTAGAGACTATCTTAATTAAAAATTAATTCACTTGCACGATACAATTATTCTAATCAATCCTATCTTCTTCTTATTTTATCAGTTATTCTCTAATAGTCACTCAGCAGCCACTTATTAGCTCGTTTCCCAAAAAATGCAATTATATAACAGTTCAGATTTGAATTTGCATGTTTCAAGAGCTTTCTGTATAGAAAATCACTGAAGCACATTAATCGTACAAAGTATTTTGAGAAAAGGGGAGATAATGAGAGAGAGAGGAGAAACTAACCAAAAAAGAAAAAAATAACAAGAAATCAATTACTAGAAATGAAATAAAAATATCTGCGTTACTAGATATATAAAATAATAAGAAAGAAATGATTCCATTATCAGGTGGGAGATAATAGAATATCCATAGAATTTTTCTGTGCATGCGAGGTTCTTAGCATCGTGAGAAGAGCGTTGCATTATTCGTCTCAAATTGCGGCGGGTGTGTACATAGGTGTATCGATCGTTTAAGGTGACGAAGTCGTTTACCTTGTACGTGAAAAACGCACACACCGCCGCGTCGGTGTGTGACTGCAAGATACGTTAATCGACTCATCAATCCGTTATCGCCCGTTAATTATGTTTATTCTCTAATTAAACAAATTCGGTGTTTCCTGCCTAATCGTGCGTGAAGGAAAGTATATTGTGCGCGTTTGCACGCGCGCATGTATGTTTTATGAAATAAAGAAATTCAAAACACGCGTCGCGTACGAGGAGCAACGGCGCTTCGCTGTTTGAGAGCGCGTTAATATTTCGAGTGCGTGCGTGACTGTAAGGTCGTGTAACGCTCTCCACCGCGTGTCTTTGCTCCGCGGTGCTCGGTGTCCAGCGCTCGCCGCACTGACGGCAGATTTGTCACTTCTATGATTGCGACACACTACTTACCTACTAGATAAGTGCACACGGAAACGCGAACCGTGCGTGTGCAAGTACGTGTACTTAAACGCGAGTATACCCGCGACGCTCGAGTATACTCGGCTTCGCCGGCAATGGAATCCGAATCGCTGAGGGCGATTAAGGCGCGCTGACGCTCCAAATCTCGTCGTATCGGGATGAGACGCTACGTCAATCATTCGCTCTTTCTCTTACGTACAGGCACTTTCTGCCCGTTTATCGCCGTTTATCGCCGAGGATTATTGAAATTCCCTGAATTGTAAATCGCGAACGCCGTGAGATCCGTGCTCGCGAAGAACGGAAGCAAAGCCCGGTAATATCGTGAGGCCAAGAAATAGAAGCATGCAATTGGAATAGGAACCAGTCGCTGGATATTAGAGCGAATAATTTATAGTTGCAGAAAGATTGTTACGTTTGAATGTATGATGACACACGCGTTGATTATTTTTCTGAGCTTACAACATACGCGAGTTACAAATATTTTTGTTTGAAAATGTCTCGCACGCTTTTTACTGCAAAATTATTGTAATTACTTGAATGCTCTTTACAATGTATATTGTATATTCGCTAGATTATACCGAAGAATTTTTGTGTCAAGTACTGAAGAAATAACAGATTTGACAATCTATTATTTCACCATATAAAAATTATTGAAGTAATTAGGATAATTTTGTAGTAAATCAGGTCAGATGTGTATAATACTGTCGAACAAATATACGGTAATTTAAAATACGGTAGTTCAAATTTACGGTAGTTTTGGTTGTAATCCGGTCTGCGGAATTGCAAAAATTTTGTTGCAATTTTTACCGCAATATTTTCTCCGTGCTGTCCGAGATTATGCGCACTAATATGCAACGACTGACTCCTACAAGCCACGCTTCTATTTCTTAAGTCGTATACTTTGAAAGTCTGCTCGTATATATATAGTTCAATAGTATCAAATGTGGCACACTTGCTCCGCCGTGCGGTTTTACTATACGCGATTGCGCGAGTGAGACTCACCAGTGGTGCGACTGGGTATCTTGAATCTCTTCTCCAGAGTCGTCAAGGTGACGACGATGTAGATGAAGGCCATCGCCTGAACGGTGCCCAATAAACCGTACACGGCGATGAAGTTCCTCGGGGTAGCCCGATTCCGTAGCCATCGGGGGTAAATGCCACATATTCCACAGTCTTTGCTCATATCTCGGCTGGCCCTAAAATAAAATTGATTCGGAAGCGGAATTCGTGATTTTCTCTCACGGAAAACGATGACATTTCCAGTTTGCGATAGCTAAAGACAAACTGTTGCCTCGGGGGAAAATAAGAGCTGTCGATGCGCGTCTATCTCGTGCGATTCGCACTCGTATTATCAAAACGTCAAGTCGTGTCGAAATCGGCAGTTTTAATTCTGACCCTTTCTGAGAAAAATGCTTGGTGTTCATAACTGTAATTACATAGAGAAATAAATTATAGAATCATTGTCTTATTTATTAAATTCTACACTGAAAAAAGGACTTGGTTGATGAAACAAAAATTTGGCTAAAATGGGATCAATCAAATATTTGGTAATTACACAACCAAAAAATTGAATTGCCGCTATTTTGCCTTATTTTCTCAGTAATATATAAGTCACTAAGCGAAGCAAAATAGCGGTAATCAAACTTATTTCTTTTCTCTCAGCGGATTTGCTTCTCTAGTCTCAAGTGATTTTTATAGAAAATCGTCGATTCGTCCACCTCGACAAGAAAAATTGAACTTCGACTTGCCTCGCGACCCCGTTAACAACGTCAGAATACAAAATACAAGAGTAATGGGTGGGGGGAGGGGGGAACAAAGCGTCGTTGTTGGATTGACGAGAGATGATGGTGACTTGCAGCTTTAAGCACTCCACCACGCCGCGACGAGGGTGCGCGTTATGTCGGATAACGCGAAAGGCAATTAAAAGGCCGCGGTCATCCGAGATCTCTTCGTGTCGCTACTGCATGTGCCAACTTTCAGTGCGTACACATCGCGCCGTGTATTGCGCGCAGGGGTTTGAAAAATACGAGACACGTGTGTCAATATGCAAGTCGCGATAAGGCCTATCTAATTGTCATAAATATCGCATAATTATTAGCACATTAATTACAACGTTGTCTCACTCACGTCGCACACATATCGCGGATAATTCAGCATACCGTAGATACTACAGCGACAGTAGCAGTGCTCTCTTCCTCTCCCCTCCCTCCTCTTCTCCTCCCCTCTCTCTCTCTCTCTCGCTCTCTCCTCTCTCTCTCCTCTCTCTCTTTCTCCCTCTCTCTCTCTCTCTCATTTATGCAAACGTGATGTGAGTTATGTAAGACTTTATTCTCGCTACTAGAAGTTCGCCGGCCCAATCCCAATTCGTGTTTGCGCGCATCCGTAAACCGGAATGCACGCGTGCAGCAATTGCATGCAAGTTTCTAATTCGTTTTACTTCTGCCCTAAACAAAAATTCTCAAGTGACAAATTATTTCAAACGTGTCTACAACGATCGAACTCGTTCTTGGCCCGCTCTAAGAGATCGGGAGAAGCAGAAACATTTTGCGTTGTTTCTCTAATGACACGGCGATAAGTGGTGCTTATAAACCAGTCCCAAGCATTTGCATAAACGATAATATTAATCCTTGCATCCGCGTTAGCTTGCGAAGTAAGTAAAATTGATCTGACTTTAACGGCTTAATTTCACAAATATTTGTTAAGACAAAACAAGCGAAAGTATGCATATATTACTATATTAGTACTGCATCATTGATGCTTTTACTGTGATTTCATTTGTATCCTCTTTTCTCAATTTCACTTGCTCTTTACACGCAACAATAGTCGACGATTTTTCCTCTCTATTATTCTAGAACCAGTTGGTCTTCTCTTCGTTCGTTTTTTACCGCAAATCGTTTCTACGCTAATATATCATCCAGTCGTCCTTGATGACGATTGCATTCAATTTTAATTCGTTCCATTTCACATTTTCCCCTTGACCAAAATAGACGAGTGACAAATGATTTTAGACGTCATTGCACCGCAAATTTCTGAAGCCACATTTTCCGTTAAGTCAGCAGCGCATTCTTTAAATGAGGATCTCCATGTCTCACGAACCTACTTTTCTTGCGTTTCTTTGACCCGCGTGTTTTTCGAGTAATAGAGATCTGTATCCTTCTTTGTCACTTTAAGCCATGAGCATTTAGATATCACCTTGAACGCTTTCACATGATCTATTTACACTCTTTTTCTTCAATTTTGCTTGTAACGATATCTTCCTTTATAACAATACTTTGTAACAACAGTCGATGATTTTTCATAAACATCTCTGTGAACTGTTGATCCTTTTTATTTATCACTTGTGTTTTTCGATTCACACACACATGCATGCTGGATCATCGATTGTTTTTATTTTTTTAAACCGTTCCTCTAGCTTTTTTAACCAACTTAAAAAAGAAAAAGATTCTCAATTCTGTATGTTTCTTTTATAATTGTTTTTCTTTTATTTTTTTAAACATATATTTAACAATTTCTTCATATGATCGAAAATGCCCATCTCGCGCAAAAGCCAAACGGCAATTCGAAGTTTGCTTGAATATGATCTATCTAATAGCATCTAGAAATGAGTTTAGTCCCATTCTTGTTAAACAGAATATATCTTGAGATGCTTCACGCTCAAAGGCCGATAAACGTAGAATGTTTTTATTTTCTGCTCCTCATCGAGAGTCTAATTAAAAGTTAAATTAAAAATGTGATTGCGAGAAATTTGTACGGCATTACTTATTCATATTCTTGAACTCGATGAGGAAAATCCACGTGTGCGGATATACGTAAATTATTATAAACAATAATACGCGTAATTACGTCGTAATAAACGCAAATTTCATTTTATTCATCAGTCGAGATGTAATACTAACTGCCGACCGTTCCGTAATTATTCCCGTCGTCTATGTACCTGAGGCACAGACTTACGTAATTGTAATTCAACCTTAGCGCAAGTTTCATAGCCGGAGAAGACGCTAATCTGAAGTTTTAGCGGATTATAACACTTCCGTTTCACTGCTTCTGAAGACACCTCGTAAAAGAGCGCGTTTAAGGCGAATTACGCAATTATGTAGAATTCTATGATCACTTTATCTGAGGGAAGAGATTGTTCGAACACCAAAAGAGGCGTCGCACGCAAGAACTTTCGTCTCCTCGCTCCTTTCCTTCCTCTTCTTTCCTCAGTTTTCTTTTCTTCTAGAAAAACGCGTGATCGCGCGCCATCGCTTCGCGGTTATAGACAGGTCTGCGCGAATTCTTATGTAATTACGATAACTAAAGATCCCCGCTTTGCCACGGCAAGGGTGAGTTATTTATTAGAAGATAACGAGAATCGCCATTGCTATTTCTCGAAAACAATCTGAGCGCTCATTCACAAGATACGCATCGCGCCGATTATTATCACAAGACATTATGCGATTCACGCGATCGTACATCATCGTTGCGCGCAGTCTTTTTGTAGTTGATATTGCTTCGAATTATCTTATACGGCGCACGCCGTATCTCGGAACGCTTCAGTGTCTCTTGGAACACGTTTGAACTGAGCAATCTCGCGCCGATCTTGTCAAATGCGAGATAAACGAGTGCGAATTTCGGGCGGTGCGCGGTAAACAGCACTTTCGTTCGGCTTTAAAAAACAAAAGTTACATACGAAGGATGCGTTCTCACCTTGACCTTAAACCTTACGTGGATGCTCTGGAGGGACTTCCCGGCCGCGACTCCTACTGGATCGCGATCCTCGAGTCGTTCCTCGCTCGCCGAGACGGCTCTAGTCTACCGGGTAGCTCGGAAATCACTACGCGCTGCGGGCGCTCTAGTTTGTACGAATAAACGCGGGATAACTGAGCTTGCTCGTATGTCAATGGCAATGCTCCCCTACTATTTCTCTATCAAGTCAAATGATAAGCGGAACGTCATTCAAAGGACGTTACCGCCGGTAAGACACGGCTGCTGACATCTTATTACCGGCATCCCAAGTGACGCGCCGAGGCGCGCCCGCGATCGCTAGGTAACAAGCAGCTCGTGCGGTTGGAATCCGTGCTGAAGCTTCCGAAGACGCAACGCAGAGTCCCGACGCAGCTGTTTCTTCCGATGGAACAGCGAGAACCACGAGGGAGAGAGACAGAGAGAGATCACGTAGGAATTCCTGCCGCTACGGCACGCAATTGGCGTTACCATCGACTGGAACAATCGCATAAGGATCGATATCAGGTCACATGAAAACTATTTTCTGTTTAAATACGATTTTTTTTTAATTTATATTTAAATACGATATTTTTTCAAATTTCCACACGGATCGTTTTCAATATAGATACAATATTTTTTTACCGCGTACGATCATGCACTTGCATTAAATGGATTTTAAAATATTTTCGTATATATAGATACCAAAATATATGAAATTATATTAAAATTTAATGTTAAAAAAATGAAAAAATTGTTTTACAACATATTATGATGAAATTTGTTGTTATTTTTTATTTAAAACATCCCTCGTGCAACCAATTTTCAAATTGCCATTAACAACCCAAACAGAACATAAAATTACAATGACATCAAAATAATGAGAAAATCGTGATTGAGAAGTGAGTCTTTTAGTAATTTTCTTGTCCTTTTTACGTCATCGTGATTTTTATACACCTGGGAAGGGTTCTATAGATTCTACCATTTTTTATTATTTTTATTATTAATACTATTAGTATTACTTCGCTATTATTAATACTTTTTTATTATTAATACTTCACTTTTTTTAGAGATTTGAACAAAAAGTGCATCGCTGTAAAGCTGTAGTAAACAAATAAGACGTATTTTGTATACGAGAACCCTTATAGAAATATCATATTAAGAATCATTGATAATTACTTATTTTCAGTATTAAAAATACTGGATAATAAGTAATTATCAATGATTCTTAGTATGAAATTTCTATAAGGGAAACGTTGTCGTTCAAAATATTATTCTGTCATGAATTTCGTCAGCTTTATTTGACGAAATATTAACGGCACGATACGCACGTAGTTGCGAGGAGTGCCAAATCATCATGTAGTGTCATCAGTGTAGCGGCAGCCTGGTTATTTTTGCATAGTTATGCTCCCGCGACGAGGGCGGCCCTTCTTTTGCTTGTTTTTGCGAATCGTCGCGACGATACGCGTCCGATCTCGCAAGGCCATTAGATTTATCTTTAGCCGGCAAAAACGACGGCAGCGACAGCGACGAAGACGAAACTACGCAACGAAATCTCTTCTGCCCGACGAAGCAAATATCGAACAATGTAATTGTGGATTCTCGTCGTTTAATATGACTATCGATTGTCGACTATCGTGAAACACGAAATGACAAATTTTTAAATTTTTATTGAGAAACGACGAAAGTTAGCGATATTCCACGTGAACTTAAGTTTCTTTTTACATGTACGGCTTGATTGATACGCATAAATGCGAACACAATGAAGAAGAGGTAAGAAACACGTGGAAGCACATTTTATCTTAATGACAATATATTTGTTTTCGGTTTTCGTTAATCTATCAGATCTATAGAGCGTATATTAATAATATTGAGGATAACAGATAATATATATATGTATATATATTACAACCTATTTTTATAATTAAGCCTATATACAGTTAATTCTAAGAGTATAGGATATCCAAAAACATGATACCCATAATAAAGGGCACGTTTGCCTGTGGATTCGCAGCATAACTTCCTAATGTCAACCTTCTCATTTTTAACGGAAGCTTCGACGCATTTTGTAACAAACTTCTCAATCACGTGTCCGTTCCGCCAAGTTAAGTACATAAACAATGTTATATAACTAGTAGTAATAATGAAATGGTAATAATAATAATAATAATATAATGCCAATAATAAAATAATAATGAAATAATAATAGTAATAATAATAAAATAATATAATAATTTATTTCCCTATTATCATAGTCGAACGGTTCGGTAATAATACTTAACTCTAAGGCTTCCTAACCTTTTTTCCTTGCTAACTTTTTACAAAGAGTTTTGGTTTCTTGCCTGCGCATTAATTTCTACTTACAAATCTAACAAATCGCGCGAGTTGAACCCGCTTAAACTTTGAAAGGGCTTGGGACTAGATGAGGGACAACCGCGTTCCTCATGACCTAATATCGGTCGATTACATTTTGATATTCATTTAGCTCCTCACCCTTTCGTTGAGCCTCACTCCTGTACACGAGTTAGCGCGTCGAGCGTTGCACTAACGGATCGCTGACTAGTTTCTAATCGATGAGACTACTCGACTGTGCTAATTAAGGCACTGGATCACTAAGAGTAGACGAACGTACACTTTTCGTTTAACAGCATTCAGTTAGACAAAGTCCCCGGGAATTGTCTCAGATGGTAATCTCGTTCTTTTTTTTTTTTTTTTTTTTGTTCCTTTCTTTTCCTCCTTACGACAGTCGTTTCAGAAATTAACTTTCCGTTAAAAGGATAAAAAGTGTCAAGTTCGATCGCTGGGTCCACTAACTTGTTTTTCGATGGCTTCGCGTCGCCACAAAATCGGCTGGTGTTGCTTCGTTTAAACAAACTGATCAATTAACATAACAAGGCCTCGAAAGTAAGACACTTCGTTGTCTCGCTGGTTGTGCGATTTTAAGGCCACTGCGGTTCGATTACAATTTGCTGTTTTGAGAGTCGTGTGTGTTTCTCCTTTTTCTTGTTCAAAAATTATATCTGTCACTGTGTATCTTGATAAAACTATTAACACGTTGAATACCATGACGGTCTCTCACTCCCTACTGACCGGCACACTACAATATTGCCGCTTCACATTAAGTTTTTTCTTTCTCTTTTTCATTCTCTACAACATACAAAGTACAATTAATTGTATTTGGAAATTTGGTACAATTAATATAACTAATTGGAACGTGATATAAAAGATGTACAAGTGTTTTATCGCTTTTATTTAGAGTATTTTTTGACAAATTTAACTCAATTCGATCATTAAGTCAAACGGAAATAACAAGCTTCCATACAATCAAATTGATAGAATATAACGCGGCAGTCAACGTGTCAATATTTCAACTGGTAATGAAGTGACAACAGTATGATAGAAAAGTTTCACAACCCGTAATCGATGACAATTTGTAAAATCATAAACCGACTGGCAACAAAGAGACAAGACAAGCGGTGCGTATGAATTGGAATATTTGTGAACAAGTACTTCAGAAGATATAACGTACAATTACGATGTACTCTGTATGTATAGATACATCTACATGTGCTGTTCTGATGGTCGATCGCGAATTTATTTCGAATTAAACTTGTTTCCAAAGAGAACAGACTTGTCATACAAACCAATATAACAAGCATATTAAGTAGATTACATATGAAATAGATCATTAAAAAATCAGCGGTGTTTTAATAAATTATCGTCTTCAAGCCGTATCGTACTCATTTTAACATTACGTAGGAAAATGTAACTTAACAGTTTATAAGAAATACATAGTCGATTTGACGTAAAAAGATCTTAAGATTTATCTGAATCTTAAAATATCGTATTTAAAGTACATTTATAACTTTAAATATGCTGTTCTCTCAGGAAATGCGCGCGCGTATCTTTCGAACGTAAGTACATATGATATCTGAGGAGTTACCACGGAATTTTCGCGAAAGTCGTATGCCGCTTTTAGAATTGCTTCATGTTTACTTCATCAGTATATCTCGTCGCGATCATCTTTATCCGTTAAATTCTGTCCAAGACGCGTCATATCGTAAGTATGACGAAAAATTCTAACACGCGCGAGTGTTCAGAAGCTCGAAAAGTTACTCGAGCACTGCACACTTAAATCGCGTTTTTTTCTTTCTGCAATATTCGTTCAGATTCATGTAAGATTTATAATCTCTGAAAACAACACCTTTTTCCTAAAAAGACACAATTTGTTCCTTTTCGAATCCACACAAAGAGAACGATTTATTGAATCGAATAAATGTTTCTTTGGAATAATCCAAATAAATTATTTGGTTGATACAACAAAAATATTTCTTTGGAACTAAGCCGCAAATAAATATTTTTGTTGTCAAACAAAATATTGTTCGATCAACCAAAAAATTCATTGGACTATTCCAAAAAATATTTATTTGATTCAACCAAATCGTTTTCTCTGTACACAATGGATATGTAAATAACACGTATAGTCAACATAGCCTTAGATCAACTTGACCCGGTTTCCCATACTTTTGAAATACAAAATCCACTATGTTTTAATACACGAATCTACTTGGCTCCCGAAATACACGGTTGAACCTTGTATATAATATAATATATATCTATAATTAATCATAACCCTTATATATATAAATTTTGTTTCTATATGGCCACACATATAATTACATAATTGTAAACGTCTGACACTGAATAAAAATGCTGGTGAGTGAAAGAAGAACAGTGTGTCATTAAAATATCACTGAAGTAGTACCATTTAATTAATTATCCACGTAATCGACTGCCACATACATAAGTAAGCCGCCTCGATTTTACTTGTCCAACAGCATTTTTCTTCACATGGACATATAAAATAATGTATGATTAGATACATGACCATACAGATACAAAATTCATATATAACCATTTTTTTTCTCGGGACTTCTCTCGAGATATGACGCAGAATAATATTCAAAAACCCCACGATGCTCTCTTAGTGGCTCTTGAACACGGGCAGATTCACATGGTACATATAATTATTTTTGTTTCTTTTCGGTGTTTCGAAACGTTCGCTAGCGAAATAAGAAATTACGGGCAAGATCACCGTGTTACCCTCCTCTTGTTATTTCATATCGCTATTTCTCTCCTTCCCTTAATAAAATCGTATTAACCAAGTTCTTGACAAACGTCAAATCGGTAAAAAAAAAACATAAAACATCTTACGGTCTCTTTATGGTCTCTTACGGTTACGGTTTTCTTACGGTCGAGCTCGTCGCGATACATATCAAGCTTCTGATCTGCTCTAACAATGGGAGAATCTTTGAGCAACATCGAGCTACAAAGCGTTGAACGCAAGATTTGTGCATGCTAAAAAAAACTTAGTAATAAGCACACGCATAGCGATCACGGATGCCGATCGTGTCGAAAAATATGTCTTGGAAAACCGGGTCTACTACTGCTACTACTTCTTCTCCCGTTCACATTTTTTCTCTCCCTAAAGAAAAGTGACTGTATATAACTATATAAAATTACGTAAAATTACACGTAAAATTAGATATGAGCTACGTGTATGATTTTTGTCCCTATATGGCCACTTATATAATTATACATAATACATAATTATATATGACACATAATTGGTCATACAGAGACGAAATTTATATATAACTATAAATAGATACTTTTCCTCGGGGCTTCTTCGAAGTACAACACATGCTAGAACGACATTCAGAAGCTTATGACCGGGCTCCTCATGGTTTTTCAACACCGATTAGGTACATTTATTTTGTCCCTTCTTGGTGTTCCAAAATGTTCGTACCTTTCCTATCGAAACAGATTAAGCTATGCCTGTGCCAATTATAAATAATAGTAATAATCAAAATTTAAAGTACAGTTACTACTTCCTTTCTAATCTTACGTAAGTCGAATAAGCTAATAACCGCTTTTAAGGATAGAAGATGATAAGGAAGATTAGATTTATCTGAAAGAGAGAAAAAGACGGGGATGGGAAGAGTAGGGGGCGAGTGAAAGACTAAACGAGAAGTAAAGAATCACCGAGCCTGAGACGGTTTTGGCAAAGACCACTTTGGCAATGTTCTCCTTTCTTCTCGCGTCTCTCGGCATGTATCCTCGACTTTTCGAAGCGGTCCCCGCTCTCTCTAGCGAAATGGGAAGAGTCACGCTTCTGCCAGTGATAAATGCAAATCATAATGACCGAAATTTTCAACAATATTACTTCCTTCCTGATCATACGATAGGACGAATAAGCCAATGTCAGCTTCAACGGGCGGAAACAGTGCGGAAGATTAGATTTGTTAGAGGGAGACAAGGAGGAGGCAAGGGGGAAGAGTACAAGTTAGAGACTAAACGCGGGAAGTTACGGACCGACGAACCTCAAGGAACTCACTCACTCAATGGGTTCTTCTCCCTTCTGGGGCCTTTTAGATTATTTATGATATTTTGCAACGCGTGAAGAGGAACATAAGGTACATCTCGCCGTCTCAGCGAGTTGATTGCTGTCTGTCGATTACTCCTGAGAATTATCGATTGTCTCGTGCTTGTCTCGCTGCATATTTGCGTTCTCTTCACCCCATAGTCTGACTATCTCCGAGCGATTATGCGGTACAGCGTTATAGACCTATTGTAATCTGGCTTCCTGAGGTGTCGTCTGATACGGTAGGCCGGGAAAAGCCGCGCCAGCTGCTGTTGCCGCCGCCGCCGCCGCCGCCGGTAGGCCCGCAGCACCTGGCAGTGTTGCGTAGGTGTACGGAGCTACGTAACTCGCTGCTGCTGCATTAGCTGCAAAAGAAACAAGTTTTTTTCTCTCAAAATCCGTATTTGGCCGTAGTGCGAGATCTCCTTACGCACTAGTCTTTGCAAATATTAGCACACTGAGAAAAGAAATATTAATATCTAAGAGATGAAACATATTTATTCGGTGGGCACCAATAACATGTTCCCTAGAATCTGAATTCCTTTATTTAAATAGAATAGACGACGGTCTTTATAAAAAGTTAAGCTTTCGAGAAAATGTATATTTGCTTGTCTGAGAAATGTTAGTGCATCAGTGTAGATAAATATATGTATTAGTACCCGTGGAATAAATATGTTTGTATTTCTTAGACACTTTTTTCTCGGTGCACTCGATTTAATCAATGTAATCTAATAACAGGCTTTAGATTTTTATCTTCCAGATTTTCACATACACGTCATAGTAGAGCAACAGCATCCCCCACGTCCAATTCGGCAACTATTTTGAGGGGTTTATTTTCCTAAGCCTTTTCTTAAGCGAAAGATAGAAAACAGTCACGCGCAGATGTTAATCAAATGAAATTATCAAAACTATTTTTAAAATATTAGATAATGCACGCGTAATAGAATTTTCATTTCGGATTTACTTGCTATGAAATTTATAGCGATTCGAAATTAATCAGGAGCTTACCCTAACAGCACATGATTCGAAGAATCTACAAAGATTGTGTGTATTTCCTACATATTCGAGATATGCACAATGTCAGGGGAATCTGAGATATAATGGGGCATCTTCGATAACTCTGTAAAGAGATACTACCATGTAATAAAATGTTTTGCAATTATTACTCTTAGATGTGTCTCTTACTGTATGTTATTATCAGTCGTCATAATATCTTTTAGTAAAAGGTATTATTTTATGCATATATGTATATCACAGATGTACTTATTATATACTAGAAAGTATTCTCAGATATTGAGGAAATATAAAAATGACATGTTTAGTTATTTATACATTATTTATATAACATAATGTACAATATAGTGTATATCTCGAATGTATGGAAAATACACGCGATTTACTTTCGCGATATCCTCCGAACATTCTCAAAATCTGGATGCTGGTGCTGTTAGGATAGTCATGCTTAGTTGTCGTCATGCTTAGTACAATTTTCTATATCGTAAAGTCTTTCTTAAGGAAGTTTTATTTATAAATTCGTCAAGGAAAGGCCCTGATGCGTAAAAAAAGGAAAAGAACAGAAAATAATTCCGGTCTGAAACATAGCTTAACAACGTAAAATAATGTATTGTTTGGCGATAAATGACGAATCGCAGGAACGTGGAAACATATTCACAAGCCATATGCGTATTTAATAAATCTTCACACACAGTGCCCCTCAGCCTTCTTCAGGTTTTTGTGATACAATAAAGCGTACGATGGTTACATCGACCACCGTCACCCATCTCGAGAGCACCGCCACCATCACCAGACAGAGCGCATTAAGTTGACAACATATTATGCGTCAGTCGTATAGTTGCACAAAGCACGCGTAAACATGCAAGACTTATTCTCTCGATTGCTTGCTTACCATCGAATTACGCAGCGAGCACTGAAGATTTTGCGTATGCGCGTACAATTAAATGCAAAGGAACAGTTATGAAGTACAAGAGCTCAAGAGGACACGTAGAGTTACGTCAGATTGAACATTAAAGATTAAAGTCAGATCTGGCAGATCGAGAAAGGAAAGCGAGAGAGATCACCTCTCGCGGCAATTGTTCAGCTTACGAAAATCTCGTCGTTACTCGATCGAGTGACTCATAAACGCGACATGATCGCAAAATATTCAGTGATCAAAGTCGAAAAGAAGCGATGTATGCATACTATCGCAGAAATCTATGGCGGAGTTCCCACAAAAGATCCGTCAGGAAGCGGCCAAGGCTCTCTCTTGTACGGCGAAAGATACGCGCGCGCGCGCGCGCGCGGACAGGACATGTGCAGAATAAGCGACACCTCATTGCATCCGCCTGGTGTCGGAGAGCTCCGACACATCCGACGTCGAAATTACCATTCCCCTAACCGGGTAGAACCCGGTATAACCCGATGCGTAGCTCCCGCGTAGCGGTAGCCGCACATCGGGTTACACGGGCGCGCTTCCCATATTCTCCTTCTGAGCCGATATGTGAACAATGCGTGAGTAGTGTGTGAATAATATGTGGATATGCATATACGCACGTTAAAAGAAAAAATATGAAAACTAAAAGACATTTATTCGCCGGGTACTAATACTTTCATAAGTCTAAATTCTTGCGCTTAAATCAAATAAACAACTGCCTTTGTGAAAAGTGTATGATGACGGGGGATCTTAGAAAGTATATATTCTCTCATTTGTGTGAAAAAAATGTTTTCTCAATGTAAAAATTGTGTATATCAGTACAAAAGTGAATATGTCATTAGTACCCACTGAATAAATATTTTTCATTTTCTAAATACTTTTTTCTCAGTGCATATATATCTCTCTATTTCTCTGTGCAACATATATCGTACAAATATATATATATATATATATATATATATATATATATATATATATATATATAT